ACGGTCGTCGCGGTTGAAAAAACTTTTCGTTTCTTTATATATAAATTACGTTTATATTAGTGACTTATTTTGGAATATTTTTTTTTTCTGATATTTAATATTTTTAATAGTAGGGTTGCCAGCCTCAAACAACAAGTGAAAAATATTTTAAAATTTAACAAAATTTTTTCAATGAACGTATAGAAAGTAGAGCGTAGTTATTTTGAAATTATCATTTTAATTAGTTTTAAGAAAGTAGTAGTATTTCAAGTGTGGTTTTTTATATCCTACAGTTGCCAACATATTGATAAAAACAAAACTTGAAAGTTTCGTAGTGAAAATAAAACAGCATTGATTTCAAACCAACAATTTTTAATTCTGAAGTTATAAAAGAATTCATATTTTTCAAGAATTTACCAAAAAAAAAAAAAATTTCAAAAGAAAAAGTGTCATAAGCACTTTAAAATATTGGTTAATAAATATATAAATAAAATTAAAAAAAAATTTCTTTAACCAATATTAACGGTTTTTAAAATTGTTTTCTATATATTTAACAGAATTTTTCTATATATAATAATAATAATATTTATTATTAAAGACTTAAAATTTTATAACAATCTTTACAGTATTTGGGAAGATGGTATGAGTTCTCCAAGTATCCTTCCATTTACGAGGCCGGCGGTAGGTGTATACAGGCGGAATATGGTGCTTTAACTAACGATAGCGTTACAGTGCAGAACACCCAAATATCAATTCTGTAAGTATTTTTTGCGTACTAACATATGGTTTCACTTCGATAAATTAATATTTTTGATATTACAGCAATTTAAAATCTTCTATTGACGGCGTTGCCCGAATTGTTGGACCAGGCAAACTTTCTGTGCGTTTCAATGGTATTGCTTGTAAGTAGCCAAATAGTATTTTGTAAAATTGAAAATTTTTGAGATTTTAAAAATGGAAAGTTTTTTAAAATTTTAAAACTGTTTAAAAAATTTGTAAGATTTCAAAAATTCGCACTTCTGAATTTTGTAAGTCTTGAAATTTGTTACATATTTAAAATTTCATGGTATGATAATTTAAATGTACTGTTTGTTTATCTTTGCAGCTCTTGCTGGAAACGCTGACTACTGGGTGTTAGGTACCGATTATAAGAATTATGCTGTCGTCTACAGCTGCAGCAATTCATTATTCACACATTCGGGTAAGAAAAGATGATTAAACAACAATTTTTTATTAGCGAACAATATATTAGAAATCTTTAAATTATAGGTTATAATGCTAAAAATTAGGTTCAGTTAAATTATATATTAAAACTAAAAAAAAAAATTCTTTGGAGTTCACTCGCTCTTCGCTATTGCGGCATACTAACAGAATAATTAAGCAACTATACATTTTTTACGCTTACCTATATATAGTTATAGATATATACATATATATATATATCTTTCGAAAACTGATTAGCTTAACCAACATATAATATTAATCTATTATCAATTCTCCGTAAAAATAACTAAAATTACAAAAAAAATTAATTTTTCGAAAACAA